TAAAAAAACAATTTCCCATGTATAGACTGAATGTTGTAGTGTTAACAGCATAATTTCTTGTGTAGGATTTTATTTTTCCAGTAAATTTAGGCCTCTAAGTGTAAGAGATAAACAATATATTTTTTATTATTTTAGAGACTGCTGAGTGTCATACCATCATCTAGATGACTAGATGCTTGTAAAGTTCCCATTTCTCAATACATGTACATTGTACACCTAATATGTTTTGATTAAATTTTTATCTCCATTAATTTTTCTATCAATTTTTAAACAATGTTTTTTCACTTTTTTTTTCATTTAAAAGTCTAGAATATTTATATAGAATACCAAAATAAAAATCGTCAAACCTACTTAAAAGTGTTGTACTACACTACAGCTTATGACTGATTTACTGTTATATATCTAATAAGAATAAAAACATAAAATTTGAAAAATTTACATAAATCATGTAAAGCCGTTGAAATGGAACAATCTGCAAATGATATAAGAAGTATAAACACTGAATTAAAATGGCGTCCCTTTAAAGTTTTAAGTCTGTAATACTACAGTTTTTTGTCATGAAACATGGCGAAATAACTTCATAGATTTACTGGGAATATAAATATGGTTAGGTAGGTGTATTGTAGTACTAATGATGCTAACTTAGCTGTACTTGAGATTTGTTTTAAAAAACTTCTAGTAACACTTTTCTGCACAAATTTAGAACAGTTCATGGGGATTTCAATATCAAAATTGAATAGACAAATAGTTCTCACAAATGATCAATTAATATAAATACACCATCACAACATTGAATACAGTAAAAGTGAATGAATTACTGTAACAGGTACTGTTTCAATAACTGACTGTATATTTTACAGCCTGCATGTATGTAAATTCTTGTGTAGTCTAATAAAGTCTTGTGTCAAAAACTGATCTTAGGTATAAAAAAATCTGGATTAAACAAAACCCTTTGTCAATAACCAAACAGAAAGGCTTGTTAGTAAAACCTACAATAATAAGACCAAATTCAAAAACCTACAAACTAACCATTTATATCTATAAAGGCCTGTGTAAAAACATACTGTTAAAGATAGAATATAGAAATAGAGGATGTGGCTGAATTACATTAAACATGTTATTGAACTTACAGATGTATACATGTATGTTTTTATGTAGAGAGATATTTTTGAAATGATTATTTTCATTATGAAGACTGTTTTATCTTGTTAACATGATTGATATTAAAAGCTGATTATATTTCATATTGTTGTTTTCTTATTTGTTTCTTTTAAAATATAATATTATTTGTCAGCTAAACTGACCACACATTGCCCAGTGTTTGTCAGTAAATGCACAACCAAACCCATTTGTGTAATGTGGAAGTGAACCCTTCAGTATACTTGGTACTTCTGTCAAATATAATGAAATGAGATAATGAAATAAAAGCTATTCTTGCTCTTTTCTTTTTTTTTTAAAGATTTAACAACAAAATACACATACTATTCTGATGTTTGTGTATAATTTATTCATTCTTTCATGATAAATAGGTGAAATTTCATTTAAAATTAAAAACTTCTAGAAGACAGACAAAATACTTTTAGAGTACTGACAAGCATTGAAAGGGGTGAACAGGTCTGATAGATATTTGGATTGATGATTCTTAGTGATTAATGTATTTGATATCAAACCACATTCTCCCTCATCTCTGAGAAGTGTTCTAGCATATGAGGAAGCTAGCCTACAGAATGTTGGTGGTTCTTCTCTGGTGTCAACTTGTGCCAGAATAACATAGGGGCACTGGATGTCTTCCACAAGCTCGATTGTCTTGGTATGATTTAAAACCAGGCATATATATTATACAAGTGATGTCTGCAGTGTGTACCACTGTCTTCTAAGAAACAAGTTCATCATGTCAGGTGACATCTGATTTTATCTTACCAACAAGTGAGGTAATATACACCGGGAGGAAACTTACTTCTAGATATATAATTTGATCTTGATATCCCTTCAGTTTTACACTGTGGCTTACTTCTGTAAACTTGTTTAGCAATAAAATCATAGTGATGTTACCATTTTTCTGCTAAAAGTTGCCATCATTTCGGACTTTTTAATGCACTTTGGTAAACAGATCTAATGCAACTCTTGTTATCAAGCATTGTTCGGTCAACAGGGAGCAGGACTTTGTTTAAAAGCGACAAAACAAAGTGAGTTGCATAGAGAAGTTTGAAGTCACAAATAAACAATACATGATCTCTGTTACAGGTAAAGTTATATATATGATACAAGTAGTGTTTAATGAAGAACATACAACAAGTTGTAGAAACTGCATACTGTTTTATTTCTAGCTAATTATCACAGTACACATATTGCACAGATTAATTGGTGTTAATGTAGAATGTATAAACATGGAATCAAATTGAAAGTACTTCAATAATCTGAAAACTTTAACATATTTGTGTTTCATCATCTTCTGTTTTTTTTTTCTATTTGCGATTTACAAGAATGATGTAAGAAATTCTTATTCCATTCAGACACACTACAGGATTAAAAGTTTCCCCTATTATTGTATAGTAATTTTAGACTGAACATACAAATTAATAACGCTTCCTATTATTTCAATATTTAAAAACAGGCACAAAGTGTTCACACAAAAAAATACAGTTCTATGTAATCAAAATAATGCGTAGCCTGAAGACCTACAAATGTATTGCATATGTGGTACTGTAGTAAAATAAATATGAAAGAAGCAGGAGTATTTAAGCTTGTTTCTGGATAATATATAGTAAGCTAAATGATGTAAAGTAGTGGGCCCTAAAGTACACATGTATTATTAAAAACAAAACAAAATGGAAAATACAAAAGAATAAATGTAAAGAGTTTTAAGGAATTAAGAATACTGTATAATAGTCATGACTTGAATATTTACTTAAGATAAAGTGAAGTACAATATATACAAAAATTCTACTGCCAAATAAACACTGTTTCATGTGAATATGAGAAAAGATAAAAGCTTTATACAGTTTGCATTGGTCCTTGAAAATGTTATCTTACTGTAAGACAATATTGCATTTTTTTTCAAACTAGAGTATGTGATATGCAAGTAAAGGAATCAAAACTAGTTACTGGTACAGACCTTAATATCCACCTTGAGGGTAACTATTTTTTATCAGCAAGTTAGCAGAGCCTGTTACAGCTTAAAACAGCTACCCTATAGCTTGATATATGTCTGTACTGGCAGTTAGTATAAGACTGCTTTCAAATAAGCTGTACAAATGTTATCTTTTTTATAGAAGAACATGATTCTTTTTTTAATACAGAGAAATTATGCTGAAAGGTTTTACTAAATGACTATGCTGATTTTTACCTGTAACATACGTTACAACTTTCAATAATCTTAAAAATAAATATAACTTTTTCTGGTTTTATAATATAATGCAACAATAAAAAGATTCTAATATTCATTGAGATTTCATATAAACTACCACGACACTTGTGTTAGAAATTTTACATAATTCTCTTAAGGCTCGCATTATAATACTTTCCTAGACTTGTATAATAATTCTTTATAATATTGATTGTTATTATTAATGGTTCCAACTTTAATAGGTCTAAAAAACAATCATTAATGAGCTATGATAATAACTATGAACAAACTGAAATATTAACTTACATTAATCCTATAATATTGTACATTAATGAGACAAGAATTCTATTTGAGAACATCTTTAATTTCAGCAAATTTTGGGTATGAAATATAGTTGAGAGAAGCTATAAGGGATCTTGACATCTTTGGTTTATATATCAGCACTGTTCTCATAAATACAAATTATGATGTGCATCAGAATGAACATGTTTATTGTACAGCACTTGTGAGATAAAAAAAACTCTGTTCCCTTATTTATGTAATATTATCTTTTACTTTTTCAAAAATCTAATCAATTTCTTCATTATTATGCTTTTTCAATACATTTAGACATACAACAAACCAATTAACATCACTTGTGAAGGCATTATCATATATAAAACACAGTATAGATTAAAGTTCCAGAAACACATATAGACAAGAAAGCTCATGTGGTAAAATACAATATAAATTAATTATTAATACATATATATAACCCCTTCACCATCAGGTAATATATTAATAAATAATGCTTTAACAAACTAAACTACTATACTTGTTACCTTAACACATAATAATACATTGTACTATATTTTCCAAAATCACCATTATGTTAACAATAAGTACTGCAAGTTATCACAAACTAATTTGAAGTCTATAGTAAAACTCTTTACCCATTTTTTATAGTACAAGAGTATATATAATAGAAGAAATATCATTAGAGTATCACTATAAATTATCACTTTAAATTAAGTGAAGTACATACATATAGACAATATCAATATACATGTATATATAATTTTTGTAAAGCCAATTCCAATTACAACAAAATTGCTTGTTTAATAAGATTATATTTATTACCACAATCTGTCTTGTATATCATGAAATATGTTTCAAAATTCTTTCCAAATATTTCCCACGTTCAAAGATTTTGAAAATTCATGTAGTCAGAAAAGTCACACATTACATGTACTATGGAAAAAAAAACAATAAAGAAACCTTCTTAAATTGACAAACATGAACAATATCAACAAGGGTATTTTTCTAATCCAGAACTAAAATGAAAATTCAGTAATACACACAGTGAATAAATTGAATAATGTAAACTTCTAATAAAATTTAATACATAAAAACTAACATTTAACATACATATATTGAACTCCTCTTTTACCAGTAAAACAATTATAACTATATGATTATTTTCAGTTATAGATCAGAACAAGTTATACAAGGGTGCCATAGTCACAAAATACGCCCGTTTTAAGGAAGCTTTAGATGGAGATGGGGGCATTATGGATAAGTGTTATCTAGCAAGTTTTTATTCTTGGCACTGGGTTGTTAGGTGAACCTTAAAACAAATCAGTAGGGAAGATATGCACAGGATGTGTGACCTTGACCTTGGTCGCAGGGACCTGAATTTTATGCACGGCACTTAGCCTCACAATGATGAACATTTGTGCCAAATTATATTGAAATCCCTCTATGCATGTAGAAGTTTTGCTCCAGACAAGCGTTTTTCTATGAGCTCTAACTGTGACCTTCACCTTTGACCTAGAGACTTGGTTCATGTGCAGGGCACTACGTCTCATGGTGGTGAACAACTCTATAAAGTAACATTAAAATTCCTCCATGCATGTAGAAAATATGCTCCGGACAACATCTAGATATTTAATCATCTCCAGTGACCTTGACAATGCAAATATTAACCTAAATTAAATATGTCACACCTGTAGTCATGACAGTTACCATTTGTGCCACAATCCATCAATAAATGATGACTAAATGGTCCCAATACACATCTTCATATTTTTATCTGAACTTTGACCTTGAACTTTGACCTTTGACCTGGAGACCTGGATCATGCATGGAGCAATACATATTATGGTGGTGAACATTTCCATAAAGTATTTTAAAAATTCTTCCATACATGTAGGAGATATGCTCCAGACAAAAACTGGATATTTCACCATCTTTAGTGACCTTGACCTTGCATATATTGACCTAAAGTACATGTGTCACAGCCGTAGTCATGATAATGACCATTTGTGTTACAATCCCTCAATAAATGATGATTAAATCGTCCCTATACACATCTTCATATTTTTATCTAAACTTTGACCTCTATGTGTGACCTTGACCTTGGCCGCAAGGACCTGAATCTTGCGCGCGACACTCCGCCTCACAATGGTGAACATTTGTGCCAAGTAATATTGAAATCCCTCTATACATGTGGAAGTTTTGCTCCGGACAAGCATTTTTCAATGAGCTCTAAGTGTGACCTTGACCTTTGACCTAGAGACCTGGTTCATGTGCGCGACACTGCTCCTCATAGTGGTGAACATTTCTATGAAGTTTCATTAAAATCCCTCCATACATGTAGGAGATATGCTCCGGACAAAATTGGACGCCGCCCGCCCGCCCGCCAGGGGCGTTCCCATAATACGTCCCGTTTTTCAAACGGGCGTATAATAAAGGACTGTAGAGATTATGTAGATTTTATGATACTCCAAACTGTCAGTATATCAAACAATTATTTTTTCACAAACCTTCATGTAAACCAAAACACTGTAAATATCATTTCTGAATTATATCTAACGGTATATCTATTTTCATTTTGATTTCCATAAATGATGTAGAATGATTGTCAAAATGAAATGTGAATCATCTCTCACCATTATGCATACGATCATAAAGTACATTTTTAGATTTACTTGTCTCTTAAGAGATGCTTCTTATTGCGGCAACCAATTTTCCAAAAATGATATAATAAAGGCGAGAATATTTTTATGGTTCAAGGAAAATGAGAAGAAATTCATTGAAGTGCAGTACACAAGCATAGACATGTATGTTGCCTATCAGCATATGAGCCGCGTCATGACAAAACCAAAATAATGGGTTTGCAACCAGCATAGATCCAGACCAGCCTGCGCATCCGCGCAGTCTGATCAGGATCCATGCTGTTCGCTTACCAACCCTATTACAAGTAGAGAAACTGATAGTGAACAGCATGGATCCTGATCAGACTGCACGGATGCGCAGGCTGGTCTGGATCCATGCTGGCTGCAAACGCACAATTTGGTTTTGTCGTATCACGGCTCATATATAGAGATCATTTCAAAGACTGATACAGACCATGTAGGTCTTCTCCACCTACAGAATTGGCCATCTGTCTACAAATTTTGATCATATTCAAAATGTACGTTTTTGATAACTGACACTTCAAATGTCTTCAAAGAAGTTTACGTTAAATATAAACTGTTTTTAACTATATGTGAAAAGGTCAACTGATATATTCATTTTTTGATGGAGTTTATTTTGGGGGTGGGGGAATTCTTTGTAAGATTAGAGTAACTGTTAAGTATTCTATGTGTCATCAACTTCACACTTAAAATCTGTGTTGTATATAACTTTTGGTAAACATTGTCTATAATAAAATGATTGTTCAAAACTAAACCCATGTACAATATACAGACAAAAACAATAATACAGATTTATAATATGTGCAAACACCATGGAATGATTAAGATAAACAAATATACTTCTATAAATAATGTGACAGGTAAGTTATAAAAACAAGAGCTGTCCGTAAGACAGCGCGCTCGACTTTTTTATTGCTTGCCAATAAAAAAAGTTTTTGCAGTAAAAGGCAATACAAGAATCTCTGTATTTTTAAAGTGAACAATGGCCATGAGCATTAAGATATTTAGTGAAGAATTATTTTATTATGACATAATTTATGGTAAAGTGAACAAGTGGATAGGAATGAATTTTTTTAGATTTTTTAAGTTTTTTAGTGCTTGCCTATAATACAAAACATTGACAGTTAAGGGCCATAATCCAAATAAAATCTTTGACAGAATTACCTTCTCCTGGACATGTTTGGGAATCATGATTGTAAACAAGTATTCCAACTTTCAAATTAATATCTCAAACAGTTCAGTCAAAAAGTGGACTGGTACTAAAAACTTAACCAAGATTCTAAGTCGATAAAAGGCCTTAATTTTTAAAACAAATCCTTGACAGAGTTACCTTCTCTTGCGTACAGATGGGGGTAATGATGTGAAATAGCATTAAAAGTTTCAAAGCAATATCTCAAAGGGTTAAGGCAATAAGTGGATTTTACCCATATTCAATGTATTTTCTAAGTCAAAAAGGGCATAATTCTGTCAAAAACCTTGACAGAGTTATGTCCTCTTGTCTGTTGATGAAGGTCGTGATGGTAAACAAGTATGGTCAGTTTCAAAGCAATACCTCCAATGGTTTTGAAATAAAGTGAGGTGTACAAAAAACTTAACCAAGCTCAATACACTTTCTAAGTCAAAAAAGGGCCATAATTCTGTCAAAAACCTTGACAGAGTTATGTACTCTTGTCTGTAGATGGAGTTATGATGGTGAACAAGTATGGTAAGTTTCAAAGCCATACTTGTAATACTTCTGAAATAAAGTGGGGTGGTACGAAAAACTTAACCAAGGTGTGACGCCAACGCCGACGCCGGGGCGAGTAGGATAGCTCCCCTTTTCATAGAAAAGTCGAGCTAAAAACTTGTGATGTTGGAATGCATTAGAAGCAATTCTATAAATAACAACAATCTGATAATATATGTATAAACTATACCACTACCTTTACTGCTGTCTAAACAAATTACAATCTTACAATACTGAACTAGAATTTTGCCAGCATTGTTCAACTCCGCAAGGTTTACACATGAGAACAGTTTAATTTCAAACTTCTTCAAAAACATCTTATAAAGTACGACTTTTTCATTTATTATTTAAACATTAATCCATAACCTCCTGAATTTCTTAAATAAATTGTCCAGTTTCCTTTTTTTGAGTTGTACATTATCAATTTTTTTTGGGATATCAAGAAAATGTGAAGTTGGTCAACCAACAGGTATAGAGCCTAGTTAGACAGAAGTGTATGTCAGTCTGCCTCTATACTAATGACAAAAGCTAATCATTGTTAGTTACAGCAAACTACACTAGAAAATCTTCATCCCCATATATATGTTAGTAGTTAATTTTACCGTCACAATATATCAACCTTTATACCCACGTCAGCAGTCAATCAGTATATAATCAAATAAACTATAGTACTTTATAACTAAAACTTTAATCTATTTCTGTATTCTTATTTTAATCAATTTCTCAAAACATGGAAAATAAAAAAAAAAAAAAACATGACTGCATATTTTAAAATGGATTCATATCTGAAACAGAAAAAATACTTCTTTGTATTCTAAGATAAAATTTAGCTCTCAGAGACAACCCTCTGTATTTAATTAAAAAAAAAAAACTAAAAATTTATATATGAGAACAAAAAATAATTTATGATACAACCTCTCTTACTTGTCATCTGGGACAATCTTCTCCTCCATTCTTTTGTTAATTCTGGTTACATAAGATTACAAACCATTGAAAAAGGACAATGTGTACAATTCATTGCAGTCAAACAAAAATCATTTAAGAGGTAATGAACATGTACAAATGGGAACTGAAATGTATTAATGTTTCTATGGCAACGGTGATGACTAATGTTTCTCTGAGCCTGAATAAGGCTGTTGGCCGGTCTCGTATGGCTGGTGATCATCCATTCCTCCAGAGTTAGTGGGAGCTGGTGTATCAATATTCTCATATGCGCTATGCTGGGGACTGCCGCCTGAATTTAAAAAAAAATGATGTAAGCATTAAGTTAACGTGTTAGTGAAACAAAGATTGAAGTACTAAATATAATTGGTATTTAATCAAATTCCTCAAGTTTCTAATTATCTTGACTGGTTTCTTCTATTTCTTTTCTTTGACCCTGAAGGCATTGGACTTCACAAGCAAGTCCATTTCTATCTTTTTACAGACAATATTCTGTGATAACTGTTATTCTACTCTTTTGTGTTTTGAAAAATGAAAAAAAAATAAGAAAATAACTGAATATCTAATGATTTATGAATAATCAATATTATAGGCTGTGTAACTGGTGTTTTATAGCCCTTACACCACATATACGCAATTCCTCGTAACAGCTGTGGTTGTCGTGTCTAATTTTAGTGACAACTTGGATTTGCCATTCATCAATCGAAGTTCTCTTGGTGTTCACTACTTTAAAATATACTGAAACACAATGTCTTGTAAATTGAGTTGTCTAAACGTTTTTGGTTTCCTCTTATGCGATACTTTGAAGACACTTTTAGTAATCAAATGTTGAATTTTGATACATTAATATTTACTAGAAAAAAGAACCCAAAATCAATTGTGTAAAATTTCATTCCTTTTTTTTGGTTTTAAAAGAAGTTACAATGATAAAACATCATATTTTTGTCCTGTAATATGAAGGATCCCAGTAGTCTTCCATTGTTCACATTACATAAAAGATGGACAAGGAATTCTATATACTAGATGTTTTCTCACAATTTTCATGTTGACAATTTGTGTGATGCCCTTCACATAACTAGCTGACTACATGTACCTTGAGTCAGGGAGATTTCAGCACTAAAATAATTATAATACACACAACAATTCTTATTTCTTACATAACTGCTATGAGGAAATGATAAGAAAGCAGTTTTATTGTGGTATATGTCCTCTATGTGTACACAATTTATCTACTAGTCAGATTTGTTATTGTCATATCTTCACCAACTGGTGCTATGGTAAATTATTACCTAGATACAAGGGATATATGGCCACGTCATGTCTCAGACAGTATATCTAGGGTGCAATCTTTTGATAACAGTTACTATATATTATATGAGCACCCTGGACTGCACATTGATTAGTTTATACAGAATCATGCTATGAATGCCACAAAGTTCCAGCACAACTTGTAACTACTCCTCCTATTGAATCATTCAATCAAGCAGTGATCCAACTGCCCAATTTTACATCTGTTATTTATAAAGTTTACTTGAGCCCTTAACTTAACCTAAAAGAAGGAAGGAAATACATACCAAATCCTGGAAGATTGCCAACACCCGGAATGTTAAAGTCGGAGTATGAACCTCCTCGATCACGATATATTCTGTACAACAGGAATGCTGTTATAGGCTTCACTATCAGATTTACTATCGCCATTCTAAAAGAGAAAAACGTTATTTCTTCAATGTCATAGAATATCACAACTGTAATTAAAGCCCATAGCACCTTACATTTCCTTGGATTCTATATCCATACATTTTTTGGCAACTATTAGAGGAAGCATACATGTACACACAGGTTCAAATCAAAGATCATGCATTTATTTGAGCTTTAAATTTTAATTATTTATTATCTTATAACTATGTATAATACCCTATTTTACCCTGTTATAAAAACTTTTTATATTACAATGTGAATTATTTATAACAAGTGTAACATATAAATATATCTTTTTTGCATACATGGCAAGATAAACTAAAAATAAATTACCCTAGAGAAAATCTATATTCATTCCTGGAACTGCCTGAAATACAATGATAACTTTTTTTAAATGTAACAAATTTTAACTGCTTAGAACAAAACAATCTTAACTTTGTGATCATTATAACTATATTGACAGATTTATACAACAAAAAGCTTTGAACAATTCTTTAAAGTCATGTAGGTTTGCCTTGAAATTTAAATTACATTAAGTCAAGTACAAGACTGCCCCCACAGTTGTAGTCACTCACTCAAAAATATTGTACAATTGAAATACAAAATATGTGATCCATTGGTTGATAAGACAGCTTGTTTCCCACTTGCTTTACTCCAGTCAAGCAGTTTTTGTAAACAAACTTGAGATTCAAAATATCTTTTTTTATATAAAGTTTGGTGAGGGCCGATTAATAATTACTCAAGGAAATGTTGGTAAGGCTATATGGGTTTTTCTATGTGACAATCCAATATAACCAAGCAGAGAATATCTTACCAACTTGATTACAGTTAATAAAGGATGCTACAATCAGTATCTAAAATATATAAATTATGTTAATTTTTCAAATCTGACATTTATTTCTGGGATGAAACATTTATAAAACAAAAAATGTACCTTGCTTTTTTGGATTGCTCTCAAAATATGTATAACCTCTAGGCTCATAAATCCCTAGAAGAATAATGTCTTGAAGTATAGAAAATACATGGCACAGCAGGAACTGAAATATATAACATGTTCACAGTTATCACTATCCCTAAACCAGCTCATGCTTACACTAATAGAGATGCCTACGTTAAACTTTAAAACATTATTTAATAGGTTAGCAACTGGTGGTGGTGTTGGTAGTTTTCACTTCAGATCATGACAGTAAGCCACATTAAAGTTACCATAGCCCAGTTAAACCATTGCATTATTCCAGGGCAGGCTGCCAAGCAGTTTACCAGTACTTGTTGCCTTCACTTTCACAAGGAACTGATTACTTCTGCACATGCCAGAGCAGATGAACACCGTAGAAGTGAGCAACCGTCTAAGATGGTGATCATATATTGATCATATATAAGTATAAAGACTCTGTGGTCTAAAGATTAAGGTCATTTAAGGTTAATGACCTCAAATCAATTGCCTTTCATTGCAATATCTCAAAACATGTTTGAGGCATTGATGTCTCTAATGCAAGGAAGATATTCAGTTAACTTAAAGAAAAATTGTTGTTTAACTCAGGAATCCAATTTGAAACTAAAATAATGCATAAAAGGGCAGCTGTGATCATCTTCCATCAGTTAAACTATATATCATGCACAGTTACAGTTTGACTTAAAACCTGAAACTTAAAACTCAATACATAAATGTTAATCACATTTATCATTTATCAATTTCAAACATTTATTATCATTCAATTTCAAACATTTATAACAAATTAATTTCAAATATTTATCATTAATCAATTTCAAACATTTATTATCATTCAATTTCAAACATTTATAGGAAATTAATTTCAAATAATTATAATGAAATATTTATTATTAATCAATTTCAAACTTCATTTTTTTTTTTAATTCAATTACTGCGAACATTTCACAAACAGTAGATATTTCAAACAGACAAACAGCTCATCTTCAAACATTTCTACCTCAGGTGAATTATTAATCATGAATATCTTCCTCCCCTCGATCCATTTTACAATATTCTTGCCTGTTTGAAGAAGTCAGCAGATCTATGGAATATTTATTTAGTACCTATCTTAACTGTCTGTCTGATAGGTATAAGAATTGAACACTCACCATCAACGCTGCCTCGGAGGATTCATGATGTACAATAGACCATACACCCAAAGACAGAACAAATAAGTTCATATAAACATATGATATTGGTAGGAATGGTTGAGCCATACAAGCCCTGAAATATAATGTAAGAATACATATAGCTTCAATAAAATACTATTTTACTGACTGACAGTAGATTATCAATGGTTCATTGATTTTATAGATAAAACATTGAGAACTATTTCAAAGCAAATGCAGCATCCTTTTTTTTTAATATTACAGTTTCACTTCCTTAAATTTAACAAGAGGGCCATGATGGCCCTGAAGTCGCTCACCTGTATATAGGCCCCTGGAGCGGGGCAAGTTTAAACCCCAGGGCTTTTATTTGAACTAACTTGGTAGACACCCATTAGAAGATATTTCATGCTTAACATCCAAGGTCTAGCTCGTCAAGTTTTTTTCTTTACACATATAGTTAAAAACAATGACACACCTGGGGCAGGGACATTTTTGACCCAACGGCTTTTATTTGAACAATCTTTGTAGACACTTACTAGAAAATGTTTCATGCTTAATACCTTAACTCTAGCTATTCGGGTTTTTTCAAAGAAGACTTCTAATTTTTTGCTATACACATATAAGGAAAATCAATGTCAGCCGGGGCGAGGCCAATTTTGACCCCAGGGCTTTTATTTGAACAAACTTTGTAGACAGTCACTAGAAGATGCTTCGTGCTTTATATCTAAACTCTAGCTATTTGAGTTTTTTCAAAGAAGATTTTTTAAAGTTTTTGTATAACACATATAAGGAAAAGGAATGACCCCCGGGGCGGGGCCAATTTTGTCCCCAGGGCTTTTATTTGAACAAACTTGGTAGACAATCACTAGAAGATGATTCATGCTTAGTATCTAAACTCTAGCTATTTGGTTTTTTTCAAAGAAGATTTTTTAAGTTTTTTCTATACACATATAAGGAAAATCAATGACCCCCGGGGCGGGGCCAATTTTGACCCAGGGCTCTTATTTGAACAAACTTGGTAGACATCCATTAGAACATGTTTCATGCTAAATATCTTAGCTCTAGCACTTTGGGTTCTTTAAAAGAAGATTTTTTAAGTTTTTACTATATGCATATAGGGAAAATCAATGACCCCCTGGGCGGGCCAATTTTGACCCCAGGGCTTTTATTTGAACAAACTTGGTAGTCACCCATAAGAAGATGTTTCATGGTAAATATCTTAGCTCTAGCTCTTTGGGTTTTTAAAAGAAATTTTTTTTTAAGTTTTTACTATATGCCTATAGGTAAAATCAAAGACCCCCTGGGGCGGGCCAATTTTGACCCCAGGGCTTTTATTTGAACAAACTTGGTAGACATCCATTAGAACATGTTTCATACCAATATCTAAGCTCTAGCTCTTTGGGTTTTTTAAAAGAATTTTTTTTTAAGTTTTTACTATATGCATATAGGGAAAATCAATGACCCCCTGGGCGGGGCCAATTTTGACCCCAGGGCTTTTATTTGAACAAACTTGGTAGACATCCATTAGAGCATGTTTCATGCCAAATATCTAAGCTCTAGCACTTTGGGTCTTTAAAAGAAGATTTTTTAAGTTTTTACTATATGCATATAGGGAAAATCAATGACCCCCTGGGGCGGGGCCAATTTTGACCCCAGGGCTTTTATTTGAACAAACTTGGTAGACATCCACTATAAGATGTTTCATGCCAAATAGCTAAGCTCTTACTCTTTCGGCTTTTTAAAGAATATTTCTTCTTTTTTTACGATATGTATATAAGGAAAATCAATGACCCCCGGGGCGGGGCCAATTTTGACCCTAGGGCTTTTATTGTAACACACTTGGTAGACATCTACTATAAGATGTTTCATGCCAAATATCTAAGCTCTTGCTCTTTGGGCTTTTTAGAAGAAGATGTTTAAAGTTTTTTCTTTTGGTTGCCATGGCAACCAGAGTTCTGCATGGAATTAAATTCTTTGAACAATTTTTAAAGGTGACCACCAAAGGAACATTCCTGTGAAGTTTGGATGAAATTGGCTTAGTGGTTTATGAGGAGATGTCATTTAAAGCAAAAGTTTACGGACGGACGCCGGACAGACGGACGCCGGACGAAAAGCGATCACAAAAGCTCACCCTGTCACTTTGTGACAGGTGAGCTAAAAACCTTCTTTAAGAAAGAAACCAGATTTATAATGTACATGTATTAGCTGAGTATTTTTGCACCATTAAATCATGATGGTATTCTCATATCAAACTGAACAAAACATTACTTTTTCATGCACAACAATTAATTTTAAAGGCAACTAATGATATATACCTACTGGGAATTCACTTAATTTTGTGTGCATGAAATTTCGTGGTTTAGTCACAAAGACAACATCTTCATCACACCCTATTACCGGCGGCAGTGATGGCAGATAGTTGAAATTTACCACTCGGTACAGGTAGGTTATAAATTTGGTTGGTATTATTATATTACACAAATACAGCCCATTTCATTGCTATGAAACTATTGTCCATTGACTGGAGATACTACTAGGTAATTTTGGACTCGTTTTTCCTGTTTTTAGACTATTTTGAGCAGGTTAAAAGTGACAGCTTCGGAAAAATCCGTGAAAATGACAGTTTTTTGTCATAAATATCTCAAGTTTTAACTAAATGGCAGGATTTCGTGTTATTATGCCCCCACTTCGAAGAAGATGGGGTATATTGCTTTGCTCTTGTCGGTCCGTAGACCAAATGGTTTCCGATCAATAACTAAAAAACCCTTAGGCCTAAGAACTTCAAACTTGGTATGGTGATTGGTCATGACCAGTAGATGACCCCTATTGATTTTGGGGTCAAAGGTCAAGGTCACATTGACCTTGTAAGCAAAAACGGTTTCCGATCAATAACTAAAGAACCCTTAGGCCTAGGAACTTCAAACTTGGTATGGTGATTGGTCATGATCAGTAGATGACCCCTATTGATTTTGGGGTCAAGGGGTCAAAGGTCACTTTGACCTCTTAGGTAAAAACAGTTTCCTATCAATAACTAAAGAACCCTTTGGCCTAGGAACTTCAAACTTGGTATGGTGATTGGTCATGACCAGCAGATGACCCCTATTGATTTTGGGATCAAGGGGTCAAAGGTCAAGGTCACATTGACCTTGTAAGTAAAAACGGTTTATGATCAATAACTAAAGAACGCTTCGGCCTAGGAACTTCAAACTTGGCATGGTGATTGGTCATGACCAGCAGATGACCCCTATTGATTTTGGGTCAAAGGTCAAGGTCACATTGACCTTGTAGGTAAAAACGGTTTCCGATCAATAACTAAAGAACGCTTAGGCCTAGAAACTTCAAACTTGGTGTGATGATTGGTCATGACCAGAGATGACTCCGTTTGATTTTTGGGTCAAGGGGTCAAAGGTCAAGGTCACATTGACCTTGTAGGTTAAAATGGTTTCCAATCAAGAACTAAAGAGCGTTTCGGCCTAGGAACTTCAAACTTGGTGTGATGATTGGTCATTGCCAGGAGATGACCCCTATTGATTTTGGGGTCAAGGGGTCCAAGGTCAAGGTCACATTGACCTTGTAGGTAAAAACGGTTTACGATCAATAACTAAAGAACGCTTAGGCCTAGGAACTTCAAACTTTGTATGATGATTGGTCATGACCAGTAGATGACCCCTATTGATTTTGGGGTCAAGGGGTCAATGTCATATTGACCTTGTACTTAATGATGGTTTCTGACCAATAACCTTGGTTGATATTTTTATATTAAACTAAAAATGCTTTTGGTATACACATTTGAAGGTCTTATGTAATATAACAACTTGGCTGTCATTAATGAGGCCTACATGATTCATAAAATTTATGCATATATTATTTGGTAAGATTTGTAATAACTTAAATTGCTGCACACAACCTATGGGGTCACAATAATTATTACCTTGTGACTAGTTATGACCAGTAGATACTAGAAAACCCTTATTAATTGTTTGTTCACTGGGTCAGAAGTCATGCATAATAACCTGATCACATGACTAATTGGCTGCCGATAGGGGGCATACATGTTTTACAAACATATCTTGTTAATACAGACATTCATCCATTGGGATCACGCAAGCCAAATATCTTCGCCGTGAGTCTTTTTTTGAAAGTTTTGCAGACGTTCAATCTGGTCCGGTCAAAGAAAAAATGCTGCCGTTGTAGGCAGATACTTATTTTAAATGCTGCCGTCGATGGCAGAAATACCATGAAAGTGGCTAACATTCTGACAGAAAATCAAGGTCAACCTTATATCAATTCCTCTATTCTTTGAGCCCTTTTAGTCGGAATTGAGACGTTAAACTATCATTTCTAATATTTTCTCAAGATAGAAAAGTTATTAATGCGGTATGTGCATCGAAAAAGATTTTTAGCAACACGCAGATACAATACAAAATGTGATGATTCAGTACGACCAAATTGCACTATAAATAGAGCAATTAAGATGAAGAAATTCAGTTTTCTATATTCATGCATATGTGCTTGATCTGTTGTGTCTGTCAGTTACATGCATACAATACCATATGTATCTTAAGATTAACAGCGCATAATTCACTGCCTTTTCAAGACATAACGCCATTTGCATATTACAGCTGTAACTTCAGTAAGTGGATATTCATTTGCTAGCATATGACATTGTTTTCTCGAGGTTCATCGCTTTATGACATAATAAAGCCTGAAATTTACTTAGTCGGCGCTAATGCTGCAAAATATAAGTTACTAAATGGAGGTAATATAGGGAAGATTATTAACCTTGCAACTGACAAGATCTGTGAACATCAGTGTATCATACAACAATGTATGTTAATGTAAAATGGAGATTAAGATAATATTATCGACGGTTCAAATATTTTCCTATATTTTCAAATTCTTGAAAAACACAACAACGTGGATTCATTTCTTTAAATTTTCATGTTTGAAATCCAGTGTAGTTTGCCTTTGAATTACATTTACTATGCTAAAATATTAACAACAGTACTAACAGTAAGGTGGACATACAACGCGATTTCGAACATGAAGTGTTGGTCTTTTTCATAGATTTTTGGGCAGTTTGAATTTCGCTTTTCCCATCAAATAGGACGAAGTGAAAAAATTTCGGCGTAGTTATCGCCCATCTTCGCCCTAACCACACAGTGCTTGTTTCTGTGTAATTTCTTTCAGGCTATTGAGACCTGGTTCTGGTGTCGCGCAAGTTTTACATTTTATAATTATGAACATTGGTATCAATTATCAACTAGGCACCAATGAAATACATGTATGTTACCTGTACATTTAAAAAATCATATAGGAACATTAAACAAGTGATTTATAAACACTGTGGGGAAACTTTAAAGTAAAACTTTATTAATGTGATTACTTAAAAAAACTTACCATGTTGTAAAGATAAAATGGAAGAAGACAATCAGCTGTAAAATATCAAATAAGGAAATAAATATTTTAACATTTAATACATATTATCTGGAACTCAGTAAATGTTGGTTTTTCCTATCTAATCTCAAGGTACATAATAGCTTGAAGGTGCTCTACCTTTCACAATAGAGTGATGAATATGTTGTGTTTCTTATAAAAACAGTTAATTTACTAAGTTGTTACTATTACTGTTTATATGTACCACAGGATTAAATGGAAGAAAACCAAGTCTACAAAACTTTTTCTTACAGTAATGTATGTTAAAAATCTTTCATGTATACCTTTTTGTACAAATTACCATAATTTTGTATTTAATTTATATGTATGAAATAGCTGATTAAACAGACCAACTATTTTCTATATAAATACACTAGTTGTTACAAAATTAATAAATTTATGGTTAAGGTTAATATAGCCGTTTATTTAATTACTGAGAAAAACATTTTGAGTCGTACTTATATTCTTAAATATGTTTGGCTGTTCAGATTTTTCATCTGTAAGTTGCCGATGTTGGCGAAGGCTGACACTATTCTAAAGGACAGTGCAGAACATTGTCTACATTAATAACTTAAGCAAAATCATGTTTTATAATCTGACACAAACTGTCATTAATATTTATCCTTACACATAATCATCTAATTGTCAAGTAATATTGTCTCGCACCACAAATTTAGTATTTTCGGCAAATTTGATTTCACTTTGATGTTTTGAAGAGCGAAAATGAGGGAAATTCAAAAAGACTTATTCACACATATGTGATCAGCAATAAGTTTAAGTTATGCGGGAGAAATGTATCTATCTATCTTCTGTTAATATTAAACCCTCGCGGGTACGTAGACATGTCGGCGTATCAAAAATCTCAAGAAAGTTACAAAGAGTTGTTTAAAAGACGACAAAAGAATATTTAAAAAATGTTAAAAACAGGGGCTGAAAAACAAGGGTGAGACATGTTCGATGCAAGCTATGGCTGCACTGAACTACTCTGTGAAGCATGTCCACAACGCTAGAGGTCTGACCATAATCTAGCTTAATCCATATAGGGCTGCTCTTCTTTGGACATTTTCAATCTAATCTACATACATGTGAACTCTCCCACTTTCAGCGGGAGACTCCCTCTTTCTGCAAGCATATTTTCAAAGATTTTTCTTAATAAGGGGTATTTTCACAAATTAAAGAAATCTCCCACTTTTTGATGTCAGAACTTCCTTCTTTGTTCATTGCAAATTCTAAAATCTCCCTCTTTTTGAAGAAAAATCTCCCTCTTGATCATGGAAAAAAGTTCACATGTATGAATCTATTTGAGTTTTTGTGTGGGGAGACCATACTTCGGAACCATATTCTTCTTCTTCTTCTTCTTCCAATATACTGGCTACCTTCAACAAACTGAAGCTTACTGACAGGTTAATGCGCAAGAGGGAAAGAAAGAGTAAAAATAGTGAGGAATATATACAGTGCAGGTTAAAAACAGACAAGAGTGTGGTTTAGATATAGAGTTGGGACAGATGAGTACGGAATGACTCAATTCAAGCTGGAGTCTGACTAACGTCTGGTAAGCGATGGACTTAATGGATTGGGATTTAACCTTTACGTTTTTCGTAGGAATCCTAAGGTTTGGTTGTTGTTCATTGTGTAATCACAGTTTCTTGTGCGTTTTTTGACGCTTAAAAATTTTAACTGTATCCCATAAAACGGGAATTTACTTTTATTTTTAAAATATATAGCATTTTTATCTGGACCCCCTGTAAACATTTTACTTCAAAAAAATTTTACAATTATTTTCTGTTTACTTAACAGGTTAAGATACCTAGGTACTAGGTTGCGGGCATTTCCCCTTAGTTTAAAAATTAAAAAAAAAATTTGAAATAAATAAGCCCCCCCCGCCCCCTAAAATTTAAGGGGAAAAAAAAACAATTTGGGAAACCCTTGTTTTTCATCTCCACTAACTCTAGTTGTAAAAGTGAAAATGAAAAAGGGCTATTCCAAAAAATTCCGCCCCCCCCCAAAGGAAAAAAGGTCTAGAGAAAAACCCCCCTAGGACAAACACTCAGAGTTACCCCCTTGGACAACATAATGTAAACAGCTTTACTCAAATGACCCCCTTGGACGACCTTAAATGTAAGATTTTTGCCCAAAATAACCCAATGGACAACCTATAAGAAGAGACTTTTTGATCAAAAATGCCGTCCTTTGACAACCTATGGAAGAGACTTTTGCTCAAAATGACCCCCTTGGACAAAAAATTTCAATATCCCCCATTGACAAACTGCTGAAATTGACCCCCTAGACATCTTCCATAGGTATATTACTATTAAAAAATAGACCCCTGGACAACCTATGGAAGAGACTTTTGCTCAAAATGACCCCCTCGGACAAAAACATTCAATATCCACCCTCGGACAAGCTACAGAAATTGACCCCCTAGGACATCTTCCATAGGTATATTACTAATGAAAATACACCCCTGGACAACCTATGGAAGAGACCTTTGCTCAAAATGCCCCCCTCGGACAAAAACATTCAATATCCACCCTCGGACAAGCTACTTAAATTTGACCCCTTGGACATCTTCCATAGATATAACACTAATATAGACCCCGCCCCCCCTCCTCCTGGACACCCTATAGTAGAGACTTGATCAAAATGACCTCCCTTGGACAAAAAGTTTTTAATATCCCCCAAGCCCCTTGGACAAACTACCAAATTAACCCACTACGACATCTTTCATATGTCAACGCTTTAGGATCTGATTATCAGCAATAGAATGTCACCTTCTCATATCCTTTTAAACAAGCAATCAGCGACGAGCTTTCATAATCTTTAAAGCCATGTGGTTTCTTTTTTTATCTGCTGGAAAATCAATTTTGAGTTATTTGGA